TGTAGTAATGTTCGATCAGTCATCTCCACATTTTCATCATCAATAATTATCATCCATATATCTATAACCTTCTTTATCAGCATCAGTATAACTATGTTATCTCCTTCATAATCTGGTCTTTCTATATAAGCAATCACAATTTAGTGGTTTGCGGTAAGAAGGAACGATGAGAGCCGGTTTCCACCAGAGGGTTCCTTCAATGGTCCACAAGTCTTCCTTTTTCTCCCGAAAACCGTCTTAGTTTTTTGTTCGCCCGTCTTTTTCTGTCTAGATAACTATGAATTCTTATCCGCTAATGTCGTATCCATTCAGCTCCTTCTGTAGAAATCGTTTTCGTCGTTGTCGACCAGCAACAGAAGGGACTTAAAACACAGACTATAGACCCGTTCCATTTAGTAAATAATGGCTATTAAGTATTAGATTTTTAGATAACAATAACCAGCCATAGCAGCTGCGGTAAAACTAGATATCCGTATTGACGTATATGTGTCTAGATCTATGCCTGTGTACCGTATAACAAAAACGCGAAATAGTCCAGGATAAACATTATAGAACCCAGCTTACGTCAAAAAATATATTGTAGCAAGCGTGTAGAGATTAGCTTCTTTGGAGATGTTTTAGCGCATCCGATTTTGTCCTTTTCACCGCCCAGTTGGGTGGCAGACATTCCCGTCGGGTGAAGCCATGTGACAGCCAAGGGCACTCTATGAAAATTAAATCGTCTATAGTGACAAGCAAGCTTAGTCCCTTAGTAACAGTTTTTTTAAATTCGTAAAAGTATTAATTGTACGATGACAAATTCGTGTAGGACCTCATGAGATGTTCGCACATAAGTGGACTTCATTTTTGGTAGAAAATGCATCACTTCAAATGCTAAACGTGAGAAAATGGAAATTCCCCAATAACTGATTCTTATATCAGTCGTCGATTCGACATAGTTTAGGAAAGAAGGTAAACTATCATTACAGACTTCTTTCAGCCCGTTTCAATTAATTATGCAAAATCAATTAGTGCCAACAGACTTAAGTTACCGAACCTGAAAACTTCTGAAGCTAAAATCATATGTTTTAGTGTGTACTCGATTCAGCATACGCTCTTCGTATGACCGTTACTGGTTCCTTAGCGGTATGGGGAAGATAGTGGACTAGTGATTTGCAAGATTAGCTTTCGGTATCATCATTATATCTAACTGTATGAATCTATGTCTGGTCCACCTCGCTTATCTTGACATGCCGTTCGAGCAGGTAAAGCGATTTCAGGCTTCCCAGTCATCTACTTCTCGAAAAGCTCTATTTACAATTTTTCTTTTTAACCCTTAGGTCCTTGTCTCCTCTCCACATATTTGCTACGTCACAAAAATCAAAAGAACGTCTCGTTATTGTAATCAGCATTGCTGCGCTTAGAGCTGTCAGCCCAAACGAAAACGGCCAGCTGGCGAACACGGAATATTAACTTGACCGGTATGCCACAAACCAACATACTCTTCAGCGGCATATGGCGCTGCATTGGCTTGACGAAAGCCCGCCTACCGACAGGGCAGGCATCCTCTAGTGCGGATTCTCGCAGCAGACAATTCTTGAAAAAGACGACTGCCCTACCCCAACGCTAGAGCAATCATCGTGATGAACCAACCCATTTAGCCCTTCGTATACACTCCTGCGCCTTCAGGCGGTGCGCCTTATCCGTCTTTTCGTTTTCCTCCTCGTAGTTTTCCCTAAACGAAAATCAGGCTCGAAACTCCAGGCGTCGAGTATCGGGACCGGGTCGGGAATATTGCCGAACTCGAGATACTTCAGCTTTCCGGTGTTGTTTGATTTAACCTTGGTGTTATTCATCATCATCGTCGGTAAGGCCCCGTGCTCGCCGCTTCATTGAAAAGTAAGCACGTAGAACTAATGGTGACCAACCGAAGGCACAGTTAGCTGAAATTGCATTCTCTAAAGCTTGAGCCAGGGCTTGACCTAGTTTAACCCTGCTAAACCCTATGCTCCAGGTGGCAGGAAACAATGAGGGAGAAAAGGGCCAGCCAAGAGAAACGAAAACGAAAAGTGGCCGAACAGGAAGCTGACTTGTTCGCAGAATACTTATAGCAATGGCATTGATTGCGATCGTAGCGTTGGCGAAGGGGAAGCCGAGCAAGGGTCAGCGAATTTTCGAAAAATGCTACGGCTGCTACAGGTGGTTGATGGCAGAGTTGTCGCAGTCGACTTGAAGGAAGGAAGGAAGGAAGGAAGGAAGGAACGCTTAGTTTGTTATTGGCAAATGGCTTTTTTCCTCACTTGATGGTCGAATGGCTAAGCGTGTACGGTGAGACGGCTTATGTGGTGCGTGTAGGTGAGTGTGTCTGTGGTATGTTCTTGTGGTATCTTTGATTCATGGCTTCATATCAACCATCAAGATTGTGGCTCGCAGACCCAGCAGTGTCCGTACACTCGCGACGCGTTGGATCTATTTCTCCACACAGTACGGCGCTAATACCTCACCTCATTCATCTTCTCTCCAATGCTTTCTCAGCTTAATTATTCCGTTTAATCGACCTACTTCATTTTGTCGAGCTCCTCATCCCCGTTTGACCTTACATTATTCTTAACATTTACATTATTCTACTACCAAACAGTCAACATGTAACGACCATGATGCTTGCATTTCTCAGTTAAATTGCACATACATATAGACACGTTAGCAGCTTCACTTCGCTCTAAAGTAATGTAATCATCATTTAATATTGTAAGAAATAGCGCTTTTTTTTTTCTCTGAGTCAGCGTCATCATCTACGCGTCGGATTCATGCGTCCATCGATAGAGCATACATCATGTCCCTTCTGCGTAATTCGGTCTCTGGTCGTCCGCTATATCACATCTAGTTTAGTAAAAATCACCATAACAATCATATTAGTAATCATATTTTAAATATCAATATGCAGTCAAAGCTACGTTGCTACCATCTGGTTAATAAGTATACTCAATATTATTGACATCACCGTATGCTAACCGAAATGACAAGCGTTAAACATAATTATCTCACACTTATCTTAAAATTAACTATTTTAAGAGCTAGGTCGCTTTACTTCGTACGTCGTAACTTCACCGCTCAACTAGTAACGGAAGGAAACCTTTGTCGATGTAACGAAACGAAGAAATATTGTTCGTACTACCGACGGCGAACGGTAAGAAGTCCACTGTGGCACTCTGTTTAGGTGTACAGTGCCCCTCGAGCTGAAAACACTTTGGCGTGAGGCTGGACGAAATTTTGGCCGTGTTTACGCCTATCTGTGTGAGTATCAGAGCCACATGCAGCTATGATAATAAAATAGGTACATGAACGAAAAATGCCTGAAGACTGCCTGTTGCACCGCCATGTGGCTTCTACAGAAAATGTGTATAGTTAAGTCGAACTTCCGCAGATATTTTTTCCTACTGGGTAGAAAGGCCAGGTATCATACTAGCTCGTACAAGAGTCTAATGAACTCGCAAAATTTAAGAGACAAAATAAGCTGGTTTATAGATCTGCAGCTGTAGCCATTACCGAATCCTCACGACTTCGTCTATGGTGTTGGTGCTAGCGTACGTGACGGGGTACGTAAGTTTCGATACCCTGCACAGAACTGCACAAAACGCGTTCTTCCAAAGATGTCGAATATAGCAGCTTCATCGTCGAGAGAGAGAAATAGAGAATCAGCTAATGTTGTCACACGATGAAAACGTTCGCCCAGTGAGTAAAAGTGTCATACATGGTAATCAATAGCTGTTACTCGTTCGTTTGACAATACGGTACAAGCGTATCTTTTACATAGGTAGTAGCAGTTCTATCATTTTTAGGTAGTTAATTGAGCGCGCTACGGTAGTACTAATAATAGCAATTTCTATTAGGCTTTAATATAACAACATCTCAGTATCAGTCGTTGCCCCCGCAGTATTTGATACTGCGAATCGTAGGCGTTGTGACGTGTTCTAGCATCGGCAACCGACGATTGTTCAGGTTGCTGAAGCCGTTTAAGGACCGTTGCAAAGGCTTAACTCTCCCTGAAATTAGAACAGTCACAGAACAAGCGGCCGTACCGCGTGTCACCGCCAAAAGCTGCCGAGGACCGAAAGCCGTGTTCGACCAGACTTCGACGGCATTCGTAATGGTACAAAGGTAATAAATCGATAAATCCACTAAAACTAGCTTATTAAAACATTGTTGCGTATTAAAGCTTATACAGAGTGTTTAGGATAAAGTGGGTCATCATATCCTTTGCTAACTTTTCATCGTATCAGGAATGCGTTTCTCCTGTTCTTTTAGCACTAGATGAGAGTCAGTCAGTTCTTCGTAGAACAAAATAAATTCACCAAGACAACAATTCATTTTAGCAATATGAGCAAACATCATTTATCGTAATGTCCATATCATCGTGGCGGTGTACGTTGTCTCCAGTCTTCACCTTACTTTTGAAGAACCCGGGGAAGACCCTTATGAGACGAGGTTGAAATTTTACAACAGGAACCGCACTAAAAAAACATGACACATTGACAAAACGGTACGCAAAGCTATTCGGATAGTCCAGTACTTTTTTCTTGCATTTGACCCTTTATCAGCTTAAAATTTGCCCACCAGATTGCGAGTTTGGCGTTTTTCGGCAATACTTTATTTAGATCATACGTACAACCTTGTTTGAAGTAAAAATCGCTGAATTTATAAAAGGAATGTTTGAAATAGATCTATAAGTGGCGTAGGCCCCAAATCGAAGTAGAGATTGAAACAGATTGTACCTGTATGGAACGAACACTTTCGTCAAAGATTCTCTGTCGGTATATACGACAATCGTCACGCTTCTTCATTTATATGCCAATCTTCTGTCCCAAGCACCCTGTATATACTATATGCAAAGATGTTATATCCTCTACGCTTGAGAGAGAGACTGAGAGATGTATAACATAGCACTGCTGGCAATCGGTATTATAGTCCTCAGGGAACATACAGAACAACAACTAAGGTACGATAGACGAGGCCGACACACGCTGATGTTTCTCGTCGTCGTCGCAGTAGCCCTCAGTAACAGCAATGCCGTCTCTTCTTGACTAGGACCCATACGGCTGTAGGGTGGTAATGGCCCTGCCCCTAGGACAGCAGTAGGTCCGCCAGCATTCTCATCAGCTAAACGGACACACTACCCAGAAAACATCATTCGAGCCTTCCTACCATCTATAACTGCCACTGCTACAAAGAAACAAATGGAAAAAAACGAGATGAATACTCTAATAGGATAAAATGGGTATGTTATAGAGGTTCGCGTTTGCTCTATATACGAGTTCATTCGGCTCCGCGGAGTCGCTGTACGCCTACCGAACCATTTTTGTGATTCTGCTAGTTTGCCATTTGCCTTTCTTTGCCCTGTAATGTCCTTCGATAGGATTGTTGCATCATTTTCGTTGCGTCTGTTCCAATAGACGATAAAGTAATCATTGCTGCGATCAGGCGCCAGAGAACAAGCAGATATCGGGGCTGTCCATACTACGACAGTTGCACAACTATATAACCCGATTGCGACCGGCTTGGACCTTATTACTTAGTTTCAGGTCTGTGTACGGTTTCATAACTACACTAACCTAAATAGAAAATACATATGGTCTGAATATGTATGTGAGTAACAAGCAATAGTAAAAAACACATCGGAATGACAAACTAGTATCATTTTCAATCTAATTTGTTTGGCATATCGTTGATTGCTATTTTTCAGGCAATTTTTTGGAGTCGAACCTTAATTTTGTAGATTTTGGAGGACGAACGAACGTTGATTGCACCTACAATATTTGGAAAATGTACTTTCCCTGAGTACGTACTCCTCGCGTATGTATTCCTCTGTTTCCAGTTAATTACTATACTATGACATACGGATGGTTATGTCGCGAGTGAGTCATTACCGTACACCTGGAAGCGATTTTCATGATAAATTTGTGGACGTCGCTATGTGTTGATCATGTGATGTATGTTGGTCTTAATGATGATGCACAGCAAATTACACAGCAGTAAAAGCGTGGGCACCCCCGACGTCCTTAGCGATCCCCTTACTTACAAGTCACTACAAACACGTCAAGGTACTACCATGCCATAGAGAAGCTGGTCAACAGCAGAAGGCGTGCGAAGGCTGGATGCGTCACATTTGGCACCGCGTAGAACAGTACAACCCTGTAATTCCATCATAGGTTATTCTTGCTTGATAGTTACGACCGAAAAGCATTTGTTCATTTCTCAAAATCAACTTGAGGCAACAAAGGCCTCACTATTAATGTACAACGTAAGAAGAGACACCGCTAGATGGCCTGGTTAGGTTTCACTAGCAACTTTATGATATAAAGTCTGCTGTCCATGCTGAAACGAACACCCAATAGCTAAATAAGAACAACGAAAAAATTACGTTATCTTCTAACAGGTATTATAACTCAAAGCGGTGACGGCAATTATCCTTTTTCGCCCTTCTCCAACGAACGTGCACACTGTTTCAAGATCGTTATATTCATTATGCTTACTCGTAAGTGACTGTGGCCACTCTTCAATGAATTTCAAGGTATTTCTGAGCCTTGATTTAATCTGTGTGCATCATGAGTAGCATGTACTCCAACCAGTATCCGAGCTATATATGGTTTCTACTGAAGCTAATGCAAAGAAGCTGTCCTGCGAATTTCTGATTGATTATTGGGCCCTACGCAGCCTGTCTTTCAAAGGCGCCTGGCAGCTATTAGGTTAAAGGTCTTTCCGTATCGACTGGCTTGAATATCAGATTTGTTTCATTTAACTAACTTCGCCACACAATGCACCACATCCATCACTCGTCGCCATCGCGTACAGATAGATACAGGATCAACATCTGACCCAAACGCCTGGAACATAAGGAGCATTTTATAAGAAGGTCGCTGGGTCGACAAACGACTGGGCGGGCACTGCTCGTCATCTACCAATGTCATTTCTATCATCCCACCATCATCTAGCGTTTATTTTAATTAAAATTATTTTAAATAAAATAGAATTACTCTACGCGCTTTGTTGCCGTTTTCCCTCACCAAGCATCCTACTTTCTTTCGGTCATCATAATACTAAACCATTCACGATTGTTCGTTTAGGAAATTCCTCATAGCTTCTCTGGTGTTCTTGCTCGTTTCTCGACATTCCCATATTAACTACCAACTATATTTGGCCACCGCAGACATGTTTGTACAGTATTTCGCTTGATAAAACCTCCAAATATAATATTTTATACTTATAGTCCAATTTGTTTCGCACGATTGCTTCGGGGTCCTTCTCAAGCATATATAGCGAGTTGTCCAGCGTGCGCTGGTCATCAGTGTTTGAAATGTAAACCGTTGCATCCGTTAATTCCGCTTCTGCGCATCTGTTGATTCTTCTTCCGCTCTGATAATTTTGTCATTTTCTACTAATTTCCAATGCGCTTATGATTTTTCACTTATGCTGTTGTTGTTGTTGTTGTATGGCCATGCCAGCTACTGTATATGACTATGTTTCAAAGGGAATCCTTAAAGAAGGCTCTGGTCACACCATCTGGGGGAGAAGCGACGTGTTGATGCCAAGCCTGCCCTATTCAACTTTGCAGAACTCGGCAGTCACGTCCTGCGACCCCGCGTATCCACGTAGCTGAACACGCGCTTTAGGCATTGGCTGTTTGCTTCATTTCTGTCGTTTTCTATTGATAATATTGGTTGTGTTGTTTTTCCGTGTTGTAACTGCCGTTCATTTTTTAATCAATCCTATTGTTGTTACTATCACTTATAGAGCTGGCATTCAAATATATACCTCATTTACCCGCATTCAGCAAACGCGCCGCATTACGATCGTTAAGGTTGAAAGGTTAAATCCTTCAACGATACGTATATGTATATATACGTAATGAATATGGCCTGCCTCCTGCATCATTGTAGTCTCCTTGCTCAAGGGTCTGGGCTGTGGTATTGAGGGAGTCATATAGAACAAAACTGAAATTTATACAGCCGTAAAAGAATAAATATAAATAAAACTATTAACTAGTAGAATACAATGGGGTAGTTGTACCGATCGAGTAACGAAATCGCCACTATATCTCATACTACCTGCCCTCTATTATTGGGTGCATCACTATCAAAACGGCTTCATTCAAAAAAGCAAGTTACCACTGTGTGTTTATTATACTAGAGAACGTCTATGACAAGTAACTGATCTGACAGACGACCGTTATATTAAGAAAAGCAGACCAAAAAAGCGTAGGACAAGAATACAGAGGATTCGATGTGCGCGTAGTATCAAACGTGCATTGGCGCCCACCAACGCTGATTTATGCTACTTACCACGCATTGGCATATACTAGTCAACCTGAAAATATGCGTCCTTCATATCTCTCACTACTACGACACACCCTCGCTCGTCTTTTTCATTCGCCGCATGTATCGCACCAATCGTCAGGAGGTTACATCCATCATCGTCGTCGTCGTCGTCAGCAGCAGCGTCATCATCATTTAGTATACTTTTGTTAATATCGTGCTTACGTAATAACTGTGTGTGTGTATGCGTGTGTGTGTGTGTGTGGTGTGTGTGTGTGTGTGTGTGTGTGTGTGTGTGTGTGTGTGTGTGTGTGTGTGTGTGTGTGTGTGTGTGTGTGTGTGTGTGTGTGTGTGTGTGTGTGTGTGTGTGTGTGTGTGTGTGTGTGTGTGTGTGTGTGTGTGTGTGTGTGTGTGTGTGTGTGTGTGTGTGTGTGTGTGTGTGTGTGTGTGTGTGTGTGTGTGTGTGTGTGTGTGTGTGTGTGTGTGTGTGTGTGTGTGTGTGTGTGTGTGTGTGTGTGTGTCTGTGTGTGGGTGTGTGTGCGTGTGTAGTTATTATTAGTTGTAGTAATAGTGTAAAAATTACTTTTTCCGCTTGGTGTTCGTTTGTGTTCGTGCCCCTCGGTTTCTCTCGTTTCCCCGCATGCATTTACATCCCTCTCGTCTCGTTCACTCCCTTCAGAGTTTAGTTCAATCAATATTTGCTTGTGATTTTTTTTTATGTGTCTAAAAACGCTTAGAAAAATCGTTCTTAATCACGTCTCATTATACCATCGTCATTATTGTTATCATTTTTATAATCCTATTATCATCAGGCGTTATTGTTACTGTTGATATTGGTATTACACGTTTAGCAATCTGTTGTTTTTACATGAATGAATCATTATCATATACGATCATCAGTCCTTACGAAATCGTCACGCAACGTCAAACGGCCGTACGTTGTCGTTTGCTGGCGGTCGACGGTTTTTCAATATTGTTTTTCCTCTTCGAATCTCGTTCGGTTTCGTTACTCTCTTCCTACTAATACGCTGTCTGCTGGTCGGCTGTTGTAGCCAGTCTCAGCCCTGGCCGTGGCCGTATCGTACTATATTATTACATTGTACGTTGTAGTAGTTTTACAATCTTTAACGCTAGGTGTATTTCCCGTTGTTGCGTGAACACTAGCGCGCTGTTCCTTTGTATGTGTTGTAGGCAAAAGATAGGTAACCCGAAGTGGGAGTTCTTTCTTTTCTTCGTGCTGTTGCAGAGTTCGTTGCGTAAGAGGAGGAGCCTGCTAGAATTCCTCAACCTATTAGAGGTTCTTCCCTTTTCCTGCTGTTAAAGAGGTTATTTTCTGGCTGCTTCTGTGCTTTCGATGCTGTTTGTGTCATTATACTATTATCATTATTATGATTATTATCATTGTCTGTCTCTTTTTTATAGGGCACTTTACCTCCATCAAAAGGGAACTACGCCACTATACGCCGCCATCCGCTCTGATCATCGCCTTGTTGTAGTGCTTTTTTTCTTACGCTTCCGTTTTCGTTTGCTACATGAACGTCTCATCATCGCTGAAGCTCCGTTGCCTACCATTGCCAAGGAGGCCCGCTTGCCTTTTGGAAGCAGCTCGGCCGACGCTCCGCATCGAGTCTTGCGAGCGGCTTTTTTTGTACGTCACCGCCGCCGTTTTGTAATTGTGGTAACTGTACATCCGTTGTGGACTACCGTAGTGATTGTGGCTAGCAATAATGTCGGTAATGTCGTGAACGTTGCTGTCGCGGCCATCGTTGCTGTTGTCGTTATTGCAGACAGCGCTCTCCAAATCGTAGTCTTGTTGACTGTTGTTGATCTGCGATGGGCTGTACACTTTGGAGGCAATTGATGACAGGCTGGATGGCGACGACGTGACGGCATTCTTTCGCGCCCGGCGCTGTTGTCGGCTAGCTAGGCGACGACGCGGGGTCTGCGCCGGCGCGTTTCCATCTGCCATGGCATCCGTGGCGCCGCTGGCCGCGGATGGTCAGATGATCGATTCACGGTTCCGCTCATCGCTGTCGCTTCCCGCACTCGCTGATTCAGTGTCTGTTACGTCGCCGACACCGCCGCTGCCGTAAACTGCAGCGCCCCTAACAGCCGTCAGGGTAGGAGCGGCTACACCACTGTCGGCAGCACCCTGTCCGCCCAAGCTGCCGAGGCCACCTAGGACTGCAAACGAATTCAATAGCAACACTTAATGTCAATGTCAACGGCCATAGTAACAACAATAGTCGCTAATAAGACAGCCAGCAGTTATTCTACGCTAGCAAACTTACTCTTAACTCTGCAGCTTAATAGATTAAGTTTGAAGTCAGCCTATCCAAGTGCATGCAACTACGAGGCCCGATAAGAGATGAAGGAACATGACGACAGTATCGTTTCACTTAGCAAGAACTCTACTGCTAAACGAGACTTACACCGAACGCTTTGCTTTAACTACTTCCATTCCTGTCGTTCTGTTTACTAATGTACATAGCTCAAAGGTCTTACCCTAAGCATCTTTATTCTCTGTGAAGACAGAAAACAAACGACTATTTCCCGACAACTTGAAATATGCTGAGTACAGAATACTGTATCACAGGATACGTTTCAACACTCTCCAACAACTCCGTCAGCTCAACGGAAACAACAGAAAAATGAGGAACACCCAGTTTTATAGATAGATAATCTAAACGTTACTCGCACATGCATCTAACGACAAGCCAAGGCTGCACTCAATGGCTCGGATTGCAATCCAGTCCTCAACGCTCTGTGTATGTACCACTCCATATGGGGGAATATTGCTATTTCAACATACCGATGGCGGTGATGATTGTATCTACGAAGGATGCAAAGCTGGACAAATACCGAATTTTAGTGACGCTGCTTGAAATGGTAGGCTGTAATAGGCAGAAACGTTTTAAAAAGAAGGTGGCTATTCGTGCAGCTGCCTTACGGCGGCGGACCTTTTTGGCTTTAGCTTGGACACCGCGAGCTCACTTTACCGTTTCTACGTCCGATTTGTCAGTTGCATCTGCGGCAGCAGTAAATAAACTCACTAGCCACTGGGATACGCGCAGCTAAAATGGCTGATACGGTACGCGCCACGTTTGCCTGCCCGCTCACGCGTCTAACGGTTTCTTCAGGACGTGATAAATCGGATTTCTCACGCTGAACCGTTGACATATGGGCGACACAGGCACTGTTAACATGCTACCGCAAGCAGCTACGGATCAGGCAACAAATGACGCAAATAATAAAAAAGGAAGCGCGGAGCTTCGGCTGCACGACTACACACCTATGTACGTTTTCGTTGATTCCTTAATTCGGCGATTTATTGACAATGGCGCATTATCTATTAGAGCTTTTCGACGCAATAAGGCGTGCATCGTAGAACAAGCTTGTACCGCGCTGTCGTTGCTGATATCTTTTACACGGATAATGCTATTAGTTTGTAGCTTAATCGACTTCATTGATATTTTGCCTGATTTGTTGCGTTTGCTAGGTGAAATAATCATCCAGATCTCTCTCTGTCTGACTCTCAACTCTGTCTCTCATATATATATATATTTATAAATCTCCATAGATAGTATACCTGGTGGATGCAACGCGCGGCTTGGTTGCTGGTTCTTGGTGGAGATATGCATCTCGATCTCGGCTAACCGATTTTCGACAAGCCATGTCGACTGAGAGAGCTTGAGGCCCATCGTAGCGTTTTCGGTCTCGAGAGTGACCAACCTCTCGCGTAAGCGTTTAATTTCACTCAGCAGAGCCTCTTGATTCCTAGCACTGGCTGGGGGCGTCGGGCTATGCATTCCGCTCTGAATCCCTGTAATGGCATATAAACAGTAGACGCTTATTATACTGTTTGGTTGCCGCAATGATACGTCCTTATTTCTTGAAGCAAAATGCCAGTGAAGCGCTATAAACAACCTTGCAAATGCGCCCAGTCGAAAGAAAAAGTTTCGCTGCTATTTCTTTTTCCCTTTTCTCTCTGCTTTTTTCCCTATGTTCTCACAATAGGACAGTCAATTAGTCTCATTCAGATTTCCGAAAAATAACAGGTGAGACATATCGAGGGAATTGGCACGTGGTAGAACAGAAAATTAAAATTCGAGAAGCGGTTTACGATAGGTAAATGCCATAAGTGTGTAATTAGATTCTTGTTCCTACCGGTTCCTTCAACAAGTACCTCTCCTGTCACTGACCAAACGAGACCAGTTTCAAACAGGTATAAATTGTCAGCTAGGAATCACTGTAATCGTTATTCTGTTGCCTTAATAAGCTTCCTAGCACTGGATGATCTGAAGGTGTTTATTGTAAGTTAGTGTTCAATTATATTCTAACAGAAACGTCTTCCTTCCAACAAACAGATATAGGTGGTTGGGTTCAATGTTCCTCCTCCTTAGGAGTAACGGAAGTCGCTATGGCAGCCGTACGATGGTCGTTCAGAGCCTAGAAGAGCTCGACCAGGTTTGCTTGTCCTCCTTTATTGCATACCTAGTATCAGCTAGCCCTCGACATCCGCGCAGCGTCGGCAAGGCGGGGCTATCTGCGGTCGACCCGCTCGTGACCTTTTGGCAACACAAAACCGGATGTCTCATTCACAGCAATAGCGGCAGACTTATTGCATCATAGCAGTGGTGTGAGTTGCTGTTGGCCTTGGCGTCTGTTGCTGCAGCAGCAGCGTTGTGGAAGGCGCTGCTGCATTATCGTCGTTGTCGACCATCTTGACAAGTTTCACACCATTATCCGTCGGTGTCAGCAGCTAAAAGCAAGTTAACGAGCCGGATGTCCGATAGGACAGGCCCATCTAAACGAATTGAACCGGGCAGGACGTTCAAGTTGGGGTGGTCTAAAAGGGGTTGAGCGTAGCAAGGAGCAAGGGACAACTGAGGGTGATGGCGGTACAGAGACCAAGCGAGAGCGGGCTGAGGGTCGGTAAGCCCCTCGTTGGCGTTGAAGAGCCGAGAAGGGAAAGGGCTTATCCGACAGGGCCAGCGGGAGCAACCTGGAGTGCGGAGCGCTGAGCGCTTAGTGACCCCGCATGCACGGCTCGCCGATGTCGCTGCTACAGCCGCCGCTGCTGCCGACACAGCCACGGCTGCCTCCACTCCTGCCGCTGGTCGGAGAATACGGAGTGGAAACGACAAGGGAACGAGGAACGCTGTCGAGTTGACTCGACGTCAGGGGCGGCGGGAACGATTCTCACTGTAGTTGCAGTGGCAATGGTTATGTGGGCGGCGGCGGCAGCAGCAATCGTGCCCGCGCTCTGCCACGCTCGCGGAAGGCGTCCGAGTAGTGTGAGTGGATGGGTGGAGCACTGGAAGAGAAAACCTGTTGGCTGCTCCCAGCTGGCAGCTCTTTTATAACCACCCTTCCTCGACTCCCGATGGCGTCGCTATATACACACACTCACACACACATACACTCGCACACACGACCATCATTATAATCATCATCTCGGACTATGGCTGAAAAAGGCTCCTGAGGGTATCTGCTATGAACGAGCTGCAAGATCTCGAACAATAACCGGCGGGCAATTTGCTGGCCAAGGTCCACTTCTGCTGTTTTAGCCACGGCTGACGCGAGTAAAGCTAGAGCAAACGCTACTGACGTTTGCTGCTAACGCCGCGGCTGAAGCCGCCCATTCACTTGCCTGATATTTGAAGTGGGCTAGGCACAAGAAGATGAGTAGAGGGTCCCGCCCCAGTCGCAGTACTTGAGTTGCCCGGAGAAGTACCATAAAGAGCGGTAGGTGGCGCTACTGTGGTTGGTTCGTTGCTGCTCACGGGACTGATGTTCGTGTAGTCCGTGTATGGAGAGCTTCGACTCGCGAGAACTGGCGTTCCAGTTGGAATGGGAATGAAAGCGTGAGGCCCTGTGGACGACACAAGCGAAACACACTAACAACAACGTCTATGAGCAACATGGAAAAGCAGATCTGTGTTCGATAGGTTAATGGAAACGGGCTGAGCGGCACGGACACTGTTTTGCAGAGCACTTGCCAATTATTGAAATCATTGCGCCATTCGTTCCTATCAACACATCTGACACCTAAATATGTAGAATCAGGAAGGGAAATAGCATATATGCAGCATTACTGCAATACGTGCAAATACATACACCAACTGATTAAATGGATGTGCCATCATTTGATAGCACCACATACAGCCCACTATTATAAGAAATTGGATAAGTAAGCGGGAAGTCCATCAGCGAAAGCGGGTACTGGACAGAATGGAGGCAAATGAATGATGAAATTTCTGCCTTCGTCGTACAAGACAATATCAGTTAGGAGCATAGCTGACCACGGCAATCAAAGACCGATGGTAAATCAGGCTAGCGAGTTTGGGCTTTAGTACGTACGAAGTCTATTGTTAGCTCTTACAGGTAAGAAAAAAAGACAGCGGCAAGAAAGAACACTGAGGGGAGAAGCTCGTAAATAATTCGCTAACCACTCTCTTTTCACGACAGCTCGAAACCCGCCAGATGATCAGCATCGATCGGTCGCTTAACAGAGAGGCGCGTTACAACCGGCACGCAGCTGGCTGCTGGCCTCGTTGACAGGCTGGTGCTGGACACGGACGAAGAACTGTGAAGTAGCCTTGAAAAGGGAGAAAGCAAACGGGATAAATTGAGACAGAAAAAAATGGGACTCTTCTGTGGGATGAAGGGACGACAGAACGCAAGAGATTTCTAGTGGATAGCGGGATCCGTGCTAGAGGAAGGGTGTGGGAACAGACAGCAGCACAGCCACATAGCACCGTTGTCCGTTAGGCGGACTACGAAAGCAAACAGCTGCTAGACCTAGCAGCTCGCGGACCTGCAGACATAGCCTTCAGTATAGAATCCGGTGGTATGATCGGAGACTAAGGGACTGTACAGTTGGCACAGGTGAACATCTGCGGGCGGCCAGCACCCGTTTGGAAACTAATCACGGATCAATACGGTCCTACTCGCTTATCCACCCATGTCACCTAGCCACCCCCCAGTTACAGCGTTGCCTTCACTAGGAATCCCCTCCCGCTACTATTGCTACCGCCGTTGTTACTGTTGCTGGTTGGCTTGCCACCTGTGGAAGCAAGAGCCCATAATTTAGGAACCTATCCAATTCTCGAGCGCCATGAACACAACTATGGGGCCGTCGACGTTGCTAGTGTCGAATCTAACCACGAGCCGCTATCCTAATCGAAAGCGTCATAGGTTAGCTCGATGCGTTAGGGTTCGACAACGTAGAATGGGGCGGACAGTTGGTCTTCCGAACGAGCGGTTGGGTTAGCAAGAATTGAAAAAAGGAAAGAACTCAACTTTGTGGTACCACTATTATCGGTAGCTGCAGCAACAGCAGTGGCAATAGAACTATGAACTGGCATCGAACCAAGAGAGGTAGAGCATACCGCCTACTGCAACACTGAAAATGATAGTGACAATAGTGATATGGATAAGTTGAATTAGAACAGTGCGAGAAGGGAGAACAAGGAGATCCCGACAAAGGCGACCAACGGCAGCGCTTATGGGGTATGTGAAATGCGCTTTTTTTTACCTACCTTCTTCCTCCCTCTCTCTCTCTCTCCGTCTCCTCAATCACCCAGTCTTCCATTACTGCCTCATCGTCCGCTGTGACACCAATTTAGCTTTCATTCCTTTTTTGCATGAGAGACATTAAATGAAACCCAACCCAACCAGCACAAGACCAAAGAGCTCGAAATGGCTAGCTTTACGACCTAAAACGGTACGCACATACAAACCTGTGCACACACACCTATACATGTCCATTATTATCAGTATATATATATATATATATATATAGAGAGAGAGAGAGAGAGAGAGAGAGAGAGAGAGAGAGAGAGAGAGAAAGAGAGAGAAACGCTAGTACACTTCAATAGCCGTCTTGGTCGCCGCCACTACGCCGACCCCTAGTCGAGTTGGATGTTTGCTGTATTTGACGTCTGAGAAAACGACGAAAGCGAACGCGCGCACACGGAACGGGGGGATCAAAAGTATGAAAATATGCCAGAAGTAAAGGGAAAGCTAGAATGCCAGCAAGCGAGGAACGCAGCTAGACTAAAAGGAGCGACAGGACGAGTGGATGCAGTCGATGAGTCAGAGCATGACGCAGCAGGCTGGGTTGGTTTGGGTTGAGGCGAATGAACGTTGGACTGAGTTAGTGAAAACGAAGGAAGCAGCAAAAAGCGGGAGAGCGAATAGTATGTGGGACCTGGTGGTGCTCTTGCCATCACAGCTGAGACTACTGCTCCAGGCAGCTGCGGTTTTCGGTAGTTGCTGCTTCGGGTTTGCTGTTTTCTCGCAAACAGCTTTCGTGAGGCGCGAAGTGGCTGCCTAGCTGGCATACCTTGGAATGTGAAAGTTGTGGCGCCGGCGGTGCCGTGGGGCGTAGCCGGCAGATTGAGGTAGTGAGGTAGCGGAGACGGAGGTTGAGGTTGTTGTTGGTGTAGAGAGTGACCGGACATGGCACCGGGAACGTGAGAGATAGTGTGCACGTGCTGTTGAGCGTGGTGCACAAGGTTCGGGGATCGGCCTCTCGAGTGGCTGGGAGGCCCAGCGTGGCCCGCTTGAGGATCCTGACCAGGGGGGTATACGACGTATCCAGTAGAGCTGGGGTGGACGACGTGTCCAGTGCTTTGGCCAGACACTCGTATCCCAGACTGCGTCCCTGCTGCCGGGGTACCACTGCCAATGCAGCAGCCCGACTGCTGTTCTCGATTTTCAAGATACGACGGCGCATGGCTTTCTCGTTGGCCGCTAGGACTCGAACCTGTAAAGTGACGATAAAATCACCAACAAGTGCGACATCTAATGACAATGCCTAACATCTCTGTTGCTTCTGTTGCGTGCCTAGACGACATAAGCTCGCTGCTGCCACAAAAAGTTGTCACTTCCAAATCGTTCTATAGCAGTGTCGGAAAGCGTGTCGGATTCTTGGACATAGCGGTATTTTTCGCTTGTAGAACGCTTTTTACTCTTCTGAATCAGCTGGAAAATCTCCATTTGATTCTTAAAGCTTTTTAAATTATTGAAAAAGAAGGAGAAGGACGGGAAGAGATGATGTTCAAGCAGCAGCAGCAGCGATTCAGGCGTAAAGAAAAGGGTCTCCAAATACCACGAGGTAACGAAAACCCTTCGTACTCTTATCACAAGCTATGCAATAGTACGGCGAACTGCCGGTTCGTGCATACTCACAGGTGGATGAAGCCTTTGCCGGCTTGGGTCGGGTAAGGAAGTCGTCTCGCACCGAAGTGTCTTCCAGGGTCTTCTTCCCGCGTGACTCGAGCAGTCCCGGGGTGCTTCTACTGCGCCCCATCGCCACTGTTCGCGTAATGACAATATGAGAACGGCGCAGTAAATAGGCATCGCAATCATATACCGCATTGAGTTGCAACGGGAGCATCAGTAACAGCAGCAAAGAAAGGACCGCAAACATATGTAAGACGCTGGAAAGAAATAGTGTCTGTTCTTCGATATCCCACCGAAAATGAAAGCCCTTGAGTATCTCTTTTCCCGCTACGTTTTCTCTTGCAATTTTCGGCTGACTAAATCGATTTAGAAGAACTGCCCTCGTTTCGTGTCGTTGTATTTTTGCGCATGCTTCGCTAATCAGATGATTGGGTTAGGTACGACATGGTGCCCATGCTGATAGTGACCTCAATGTTTAGAGCAAAACGGATCGATGAGAAATTGCGAAGAGAATAAAGATAGACGCAACGGTAGACAGGTAATGAGAATTCGTCGCATATTGGCGTCGAACGCATTGAACGATAGCCAGGTAGACGTGTTTCAGCTGAGTTGCTGAGAGTGAACAGCAGAGCAAGGGAAAGCAGACGGTAACTTTAGCAATTTTGGGTCGTGTCGGTTCAATGCAACAGTACAAAGAAAAACCTGCAACTATCGGGCGCAGTTTCAAAAGCGAAAAGACTACTGCTTCGATAGTGTATTGTCGCCTTTTTTCTCCACCACTGTGTTACACTATTTCATACTTCGGTTATTCAGATAGTGCTCCTGTCATGTTTACAGATGGAAACGAACATTTATTATTAACATCGCCTTGTTCCGCTTCCTTAAACTAATAAAGATCCTAAACCCTGCATTACCAACAATTGATCCATTGATCCGCGTAAAAGAATCGTTCTGTACCAGGGATTTAAAGAGAACTATCCATGGAACGCTTGCTTCAACCGGATCAGGGTTACTGTGGCATAAATAATCAGATCTCGTTTAGTATTCCTTAACCTCTTAATTATTATGTTCAGCATATGTCGGGGTGTGCACGAGGAAAACAAATGCATTATGGAGCAGATACCACGCCTACCTTTTACGACAGCATTTATTCAGCCGTAAAGAAAGTCTACTGATCGACGCTGCTACGATAGTTTGTCGGTAGTGTTTTCCTGTTGACAGTTAGCTACGCTATTTTCCCAACAGTTTCTTTGACGATCTCACACCTCTGAATAATCGTCGATGTTGTTGTCGTCCACATCGTCGTCCACCGACACTGTACATACAAGCAAAGGGAGTCAGCGGTAGCTTAAAGAGCATCGAAAGCTTCGAGCAAGCAAAAAAAACGAGACACGAACGAGACGACAGGGAACGATAGGAGATGCAGGAAGTACGAAAACTGTAGGACAGAAGCAGCAAAATTGACCATTCGGTTACGGAATGAAAACACAGCGAAATCGAAGGGAGTGAATGAACAAAAAAAAAGGCCACATCTAAAAGGAGAAGCGGAAGCGCACGGGCCTACCTGAGCTGGAAGGACCGTTCCATAAAGAACACTAAATCAGTAAACATTCTTAGACCATATCCTGCTTCTGCTGCTGTTGCTGCTGCATCATCTTAAAGATAGGAGGAAGCGAAATAAAGCCGCGTAAAGTGGAATAGCTCGCTCATCGTCCTTGGGTAGCAGCAGGCGAATGTCAATACTTTCGCCGCGTTTCTCCTACCAACCGACGTTGATGACGAGCTGGTTCGCTGTAGATTTTCATGCTTTCATTCTATTCCCTTAGCTATCACGTACAATCACTGAGTCTTCATCGCCAACGAAATCAAATCGCTGACCGACACGTCAATCGTCCCAAATACACACATTCGCCGTTAGCCAAGCATGCAGAGCCCTGACAGTCTGCTTCTTCTTCGTCGATCTTTGTCGAAGAGCAGAGACACAGCGGGCTCATACAGGCATGGAAAACTTCGAACGTCTAATGGACACAGCTAACTATGACCCAACCGTATACTGAGAGGGGTTGATGGATGAAGGAGGATAGAAACATAGACCCAGCATATTTGAGTGCATCTATAAATTCACCACGAGTCATTCTATCTTTCTACGGCTCAGTTGACTATACTGCTGCTACGAAACTGAATATACTAGGCCAATTGTAGCGGTTGCCGTTCTGTATGTACGTGTGTGAGCTTGGTGCCTAAGGTACATATGTATGCGTGCATAGCAAACGCACGATTTACCTGATTTCAGCCCTCTGCTACTCATCACTTGCATTTCGTACAGTATACTACTACTTGCGACCTCATTCATATCTACTCTTATGTTTTCGATGCAGTCCCAGTTCGGACTTGTTTGTAATATCATATTAGTGAAGAGTGGATAGCCCAACTGTTTTCGTAAATATGGACTTCAGTACGCATGAATTAAACTAATGGAAATTTAGTTCGCAGTCAAAAGCATAAAAACAAACTGTATAATTTTATACTTATGTTCAACGTTACATGAAAAGCGCAGGAAATGGCGCGTATTCCCAATTTTATAAAGGTGTATTAATCGTTCGTGTTTGCTTCATAGGGAGAGTTTACTTGAACTAGAATGTTTACCAAATAACGTGCTTCCAGTGCACGTTATGCTCTATATATATATATATATATATATGAAGTGGAGCTTGTGGTACAATAATCTTGACACGTTAGTATTAGTTGTACTGTTTTAGTGATTAGTAAGGCTGCTACTGCTTGTGAGATCTTGCGAAAGGCCAAGCAGACTGGCCAAGACGGCAGACACAAACGCAAGAATATCTGCCCCGCACCAAGTTCTTTATTCGAACCGGCAAATGGTAAACCGCCCAAACACAAGAGAGCTTATATCTAACACATTCATCACACATAGGCCAGTCACTAGCAGAAGATAGGGTGAGCGAATGGCCGAGGGACCGTCGAAACGGGAGACCAAATCAGCTAAGCTGCTGCCCTGATTGTGTCCTTTATTTGCCTACTGGGTCTCAGCTTGAATCCTGTCAGTATTGCAGCCCTGGTAGTAGCGACTGGTTAGAGCAGCCGCAATAGCAGCTGCAGGCTGAGAGTACTGTATACGGCAGTCTGACATTTCGCTTACACGCTATACCATAGCATTATAGCACGCCTTTGAAAATCTTTTCCTAAAGAGACAGACGATGCCAACACGGCGAACAAGGCCTATAGAATCTACATGGTCTCGTGGTGTACATGCTGGATTTTTTTTGCATAGTCTTACAGAAAGGAAGAGTAGCTACTGGCCAGCAGAAGCAACGAAGCCAGCGGCTTCTTCTCCGCTCTGCAAGAACTGCCTGTCTGTCCGCGCTTTGAACGGCCATACAAGCCAACCCAACAAACCAGCCTCACAAAGCGGGTACGATGTGTGGTACTATGTGTAGACAAGTATGTCAATGTAGGTATATTCTAACATTGCTAGTTGCCACCACAGCCACGTACACTGTCCAGTTGGTTAGCTCGTTCGCCAAGGGGCTTTTCGCAGGAACGGAGATAAGACGTGGAGCTGGCTAGCATAACCTTGAACAGAAGAAACGGCAATAGCAGGGCCCCTAGCACAAGTTGGTTCTAGTCAGCTACTTTCGTCTTGCGTTCAGCCTGAACCTTTCTAAGCGCTATTGGTACGAATATTAGGACGCTCTATATATGGCCGATCACAGAAGCAGCAGCAAATCCTACAGATTTATGCTACCGTCCTTACTTGTCACACGCTACTATACTGACTCGAACGGTTTCTTTTTCGGGCCTCTTTTCTATCTCTTATGTCACTAACCGAACTAACAAAACATTCTCAGCATTATTATGACGCATAACTTAAAGAATGCAGGGCAACCAGTCAGCGAGTCACGCTATCGACCACTTCGCTAGGCCGTTGACCGATAAGAAGCAGATTCTCAATTTATTGTTTCCTGCATTAGATGCACCTTATGCTACCTTTATTGAATAAAAATCCGTGCATGTCTGTGTGTATGCAGCCAGGTATGGTGGCGCTGGGCTCTCATCACACCCACGCAATACCGTGATAGCCCATAGACGACGCCGATACAAGCGTGAATCAACAACACTAGCTACTACCTCCTACGTAGCCTCTAACGTCCAAAAAAAGGGCTAGGAGCCAGATCAAGCATCCGAATATCTGTATAATAAATACATGGTATAGACATCGGCCACAGAGGAATTTTGTAGAATCATGCACAATACGTCATATCAATTGACTCACACGTTCCGATAAATACGTAACTGCCGTCTCGCAAAAAATATGTATGCATTTGGGCCTTGATGCTGCACTGTATGTAACACTGCTAATAATGCTATGACAGAGTTATGTTTGGTAAGCGATCAAAATGATTTTATTAACCTAACATAGGCAGGGGGTGAATCAATAAGGGCTTGAAGGTAGGAACAATAAGCGGTAGATCTACAAATTGACAGAAGGTCATATTTATAGCATTTTTGTGTACATGGTATCAGAAGAAAAGCTGCTGATTGGCTTTTTCTAACCCCACTTTTGTGATTTTTAACTCACTTCTTGTTCCCCATCTGATATGTATATTTACGATTATATTCGCTCTGATAAATGCGCTAGTTTGCTACGGCGTAGTATCATTGCTAGAATATGCTAACTGCCTCAATATCTTCAGTTCAAGTAGAGCATTTCTAATAAATCACTCGTTCCCATTTCATTCATCTGTTAAATTAAATCAATTCAATCAACTAATAAATCAATCAGTCGCTAGATTCATTCATTCCTCAATGCGATGCTACAGGTTTATCTTTTAATAAAATTAAACGAAAGAGTCTTTAAAATCTTCAACAAACCACGTTTGTTTGATGCTGATTCTAAAAAAAAACTGCTTTCTACTGAAGGCGACGGCGAAACGATGCTTGCTAGCGTTGCGTATCAAGTTATAGTCGTAGGGGACGCGAAAAACAAACAATGACAAATACATAACAAGGAATTAAAGAAGATCGAATATAAAAACAATAAACAAAATAAAGTTTCAAGAAATAAACCAACAAAGAAAAGAACCGCGTCTATGCGCACCTAGTATCGTTTCTCTCTGAGCGCAAACATTTTCTGATCTGGTTTGACACGCATCCAAACACCGACCTTTCTCAAGCTCAAGCAGTTCGTCGGCGAGCCCTGCTTCGGAAGCGTAGACCCTAGATCTGGCGGCCCGATCGAGCGGGTGCATGCGCGCATAGGGGTAGTTGGACGCAGGGAATGCCGGCACACAGCCGGTGAGAGCGTCACAGTACAGGCCAAAGCTGCCCGCGGCGCCCTGCAAGGAAAAGTGCCAGGCCCCGGGGACGCCTGAAGGATGAGATAGGCACGGATGTCCCGGAGGGCCCAGGTGACTCAGGGGACCGGCGTGGGCTTGGGTCAGCGGCGTCAACCACCTACTTTTCTTGATGGGCTCCTTTTTGTACTTTTCTAGGCGTTTCACGGCGATTGCTTCGAGTCGCACTCTGGCGGCTGGATAATCCTTCAGCACGTCCCACATGTCATGCTTGTACAGGCAGAAGAGATCCGAGTAGCCGACTGAACGTACCGACGCCGTGCGTCGATTGCCCGCGGTACCCATGTTGAGGATCGAAATCTCCCCGAAATAGCTCCCTGCACGCAAGGTAGCTAGCACCGTTTTGCCATCGTCGGCCACGACCTGCAACTTGCCCCTGTTCACAATGTACATTTCCTTTCCAACCTCGCCTGAAAGCAACAAGGACAACAACAATAATTGAATAATATGAGAACTGATAGAATAGAAGATGACGTGAACCATGTGACAAATTAACACAAGACAGACACAACGGTACGTATACGTACTTGATCTGCTAATAGTACTAGAGGCCATAAATTGGCCTTGATGGATACTTGTGTATTTACTATTACCTATATTTTACCTGCACTGTACCAATCAAAACGTATGCATGCAGACACAATGTGGTGCTAGTTATGTGCTAATCGAACCACTGACTGTGGCTCTATTCCGAACGGCGCATGCCGCGACACCGACCATGCCTGGCTTGCCACGGTATTTCGAGCATACACCTATTCGTTTTTACAGTTGTATACGCATTGCCGGTGACAGTATCTGTTTCTCATCCACCAACGTCACTTCGACGTCGATGGAGACTACCACGATTCAGGCCCCACTAAAACCACCAGCACCGCTCAAACGGATGCCGACTTCGGCGAGTACCAATGTAAAGATCGATTTATAATAGATCGTATGCATTACGTTATGCAATGGCCTGTTAGCCTGTATTAGAGAAACAAGGCGTTAAATTGTCGGCACCACGCTTAGTAATAGAAGAAAGCAAATGTCCTTCCACTATTACAGTGAATGGCGAGAAGCTAACTTAAACTTGAGCTAGCAGAAGTAGTTTTGTTGTGCGAACATGCAACGTGATTCCATTTTGACACAACAACTATGTCGACATATACGAAGGTTTGACGTCGGAAATTACTTTTTTCTTCAATCGTACTATAATAGGACCATAATAGCGCGCAGCTGCGTATACATGAGATTACTTGAGGCGGTTGCGTGAGATACTACCGAATATGTAGATCTAAGTACCTTTTTGCTGTTTTCGATCTTGGTTATAAAAGTAAGCCTACTTTAATTATACCTCATACGTTGCCTCAGTCAAGAAGTGCGCTTGCGTAAACAATTTTCAGTGAAGATAACGAGAATAATTTCTATGTGTGCTCATGCAACTACGGGACCATCACTTAAAGAACGACAATATTTAAGTGTTTATACAGGTTGGGTTTCAGCTAACTGGCTCCCCATCGGAGATCCAGTGGAAAATTGTGTATGCGGCGTTTAAACGAAGTTTACTAGTGATAATAAGGCGAACAGGAACGTATCAGTTCCGCAAGCAATGACAGCACAGAACGTAGTGACCGTTAAAGAAACGATGTTCTGATTACCTAACAATATAAAATTTTTCTACTATACGAGTAGATGCACAGAACATGCAATGCTATTGAGGCCCGAGCTTGCCGTATCGATGGTTAGGGCTGGCGCGGGGTGATAGGTGGAACACCCCCCCCCCCCCCCCCTGACTGAGCCGCTTCGTTAACTGACCTTTTCTGCATATGTAGTCTCCCGGTGAAAACAGCACGGGCCGAAGTCGAAGCACTAGTTCACATAGGAAGCCCGCCTCAGTATTCTGGAAGATCTCGACACGCTTGAGTGTGTCTAGGTGCACATGGATAGCTATTTCGGCCTTTAGCTTGTCGGGCAAGCAACCGACAGACCGCTCCTCATCCGAAGATTTCTGCGTCATCCATAAGTAGTCAAACCATCGAATTACCTTATTTTGTAGATGATCCGGAACATGGCGCATTCGCATATACGTTTTGACCGCGTCGAGTTTTGCTGTAATACACCAAAAGACGCACCAGATGAGAGCGTTATTATTATAAACAGGAGTGAAAGTTGTTGTTGTTGTAATATTAGTATTGTGGCCTGTTATTGATGGGTCATCAGCACCAACATGAAAACTATATTTAGCCACGGCAGGTCCTCTACTCAATCGTCCAATGTTCAGGGAACATCTCGACTAACTGTTTTTCATAATTGCACAGATCTGGGCGTACATTGTTGATTAATAAGCAGGCAGGCAAGCTGCTTAACGATCGGCCGATAAAACGGGCATGGGAGCAGCTCAAGCACAAATCCGTTTCCTCACTTCAGCACAACCGGTAGGCAAAGCATGCCCAAAGAAGGCAAAGGCTGGAGAGATAAAGATCAAGCACTCAATCACGAATGATCTGTCACGTTGTAAGCATTCCCGCGCCCCCGCATAACCTTTATTCGTTCCTTTGTTAGGAACATCTTAGCGTGTTCTGTTTTTTTACACAGTCGCAATCGTCGCGGCCAATACCGGCATCGCACTCACGACGGTAAAGAATAGCGTCGAAGTCTTGCCGCGCGTTCCTTGCCGTTGCTCGTTGCCTTCTGAACGCTGCGACTGCTGCTGTCGCTACCTCTGTATTTCTTTAGATCTCATCTTTCAGAGCTCATGGCGGTCGATTTGCGCCTACACGCAAAACCCCACAGCTTGCCTGGTCGAGGAGCATGCAAACCGAAGAACCCGACTGGCTCTGCTCCTCAAGCCTTATCAGCCCTAGCTCCCTAACCAAACTTTTACTTCTCCCCGACAGCACAGAGGAAGGCCAATGCTTATTTTCATTCCGTTCTGTGGTCTATCCTTCGACGCTCTTTGAAACTCAATGAAACCACCTTGAGGCGGACTGTTCATATAATCAAATTGGACCATAATAGTTTTCAAGCAAGGATGCCCGTCGTTCTTCTATTGTCGCCCTGTGCAATCGTTGCTCGATTCTCCCTCGTCCTTAATATATCTATTACCTTATGAATATTGGCTGATTGAAACGACTTTTGTTGTTTCTTTCTAATTAGCATGTTAACTACAGTGGTTTCATAAATACTTCTTACTTGTCTTCTTTCTGGCACAGTGGGGTTGCACGAGAATGTTACGATAATTACCAGGCAAGAGATGACATTCTCTAAGAGACATGGGCTAAATAGCCTTCAAGGACACTGCCGTATTCTTCGTCAACGCCTGTCCTGCCTTGAAACTCCCCTGCACCCCTATCGCTAGCTACTCCTCGAATAACCGAAAGCAAAAGAAGACATTCAGATGAGTTTCCGTTGGGCTCCACTAACACAAAGTCCCACTGCCTAAACAGCTCGGTTAGGGTCTGTTGCCATGCCCTCGAAGTGCTTGTGGAGTGGCAGACGCTAGAAGGGTAGGCAAGCGCTGAAATATGTAGATTTGCGACTATGTACTCTTCTTTATTTTCTGGTTAAGGGCCAGCGGTACGACAGGCTGGTCTGCATCCGGCGGCCGATGACTGAGCGAAGGTGTTGATCAGCGGATCGACAATGATCCATCGCTCATTAGCATCACCAGTATTTCGTTGTGCTTCAGTAGTTTTCCATAAATTGGTATCGAGTCAAAAAGGAAATACGTCGCCAGCACGATGCAGAAGCGGACACATAGTTAAACACGCATGTGACGGTGTCGTTGAAATAACTGAACTTGTACCGCTATGTTCCGTTAGCCTGCAACCCAAAATAGCCCTTAACCCCATTGAAAAAAGCAATGTTCCGTGTTATTCGCTCTTTGATCCAATCCCTAATCTACGTATATGGATGTAGTTTGCTGTGTCATCTCTCCATATCTATTACGTGTTCGGCCACCACTTTACAACGTAAGCAACTAGAATTAGGTTCAAAATGATAAAAAGAAAACGACATTGCTGACCCAAGGGTTACACTATGTGATTCCAACTGTAATATTTGTTTGTCTGATAATGGTCTGTGCTTATAGTATTATTAGTAGAATAATTGTACGGCCAAAAACGGTCAGGAGAGGCGGATATATCAGCCTATGACATGAGTTTCACTAATATTTAATATTATGGCAAGACAAGCTGCCGCTGCCGCTGCCATAGGTAAGCAATTGTTGTTGTGATTGTTTTTCTTATTGTTGTTACTGTGTACAGAGTGTTTGTCCGCGTATCCAGCTGTACTGTTGTACTCATACCAACCTTGAAACTCTTTTCGGGCAGCACTGACGTTCGTGACAATATTGGCTACATGGCCGAGCACCGTAGCGAAAAGGAATAGTCCTAAAACAAGCTGTATGACGAGGAACAGGTATTGGCCTTTAGTTCGGGGTCGAGGCAAGTCACCTACGGTGGTAAGCGACAGTGTCGACCAGTAAAACGCGTGCAGGTACTCGCACATGGTATCGTTGCCGCACAGCGAGTTGTTAAACCAACGCTCACCCGAGCCGAACACTTCGTTTTTGTCGATGATGTGCGCGATGCACGCGTTCCAGTGAAAGATCACGAGAACGTAGTGCGTGAGATTGATGGCCCGAAATACGTTCGGGTAGTTGGTGTGCCGCTCTGTCCGATCCAAAAATGCCCAAAAGCGGTAAATCTTGACAAGACGAAAACCGCGTAGAATCGAGTTGAAGCGGATCGATAAATAGAGGAAATCTAGCGGCAGCAGGCACAACGCGTCTATGTAGAACATAGTTGAGTTCAGGTAGTGGTTGCGCAGCTTCTCGCCATCTGTCTGAAGGACACCCTCATCCAAATAACCTGTCCGAAAGTGGAAGCAGATATCCAGCACGTAGAGGAAATCTGCCATGTAGTCGAGAGTGAACCATACGGGAAGCGTCTCCATCGTAATTTCAGAAAAGCTAAATCGATAAATTATTACCCAGAAGTTGTACAGAAATGCTATGCTGACCACCAGTGACCAGTAGTAGCACAAACGGCCAGAAGGGTCAAATACAAACGTCCAACGACAGCCCGATTTTTCTGCAAGGTCCCACTTTTCGAACTCTCTTTTGATTTCTTTGCGTCGCTGTTCGCGCGTTTTCTTCGGTATCTCAACGGCGACCTGGTCGGAGCGAGTAGGACCCGTGGCCGGCGACTCGGGCCGGTTGCCTGTGGCCCCGGACATGGCCGGGGCCCCGTTCTCCGGCACTTTCCCGGCGACGGTCTCCACGTCAGGCGGCGAGTAATCCGATGTGGCCTGTTGACTGCCGACCCCGGCGAGCGACACGTTCGAACGTGATGTCGTCCGAGACCGTAGCTGAGTACCCCCGTCCGCCGGAGACTGGGTGAGGCCGGCGCGCGTCCGGAGCCCGGCCATGTCAGTGGTCGCGTCCAGTGGTGGCTGCGCCAGTGTGGCTGTGAGACGCGAATGCAGTGAGTTAGTCTCTAATGCCGCTTCTAAACTACTTGACGTATCAGGAAGTAATCTTTGAGTGCAGATGTTGGAAGCAGTGGCCGCCGCCGCCGCCGCCAAACTTTGGCTGGACGTGGATGTGGGACAGGTACGGACCGCCAGGCGATTGGCGCCGAAGCCAGTACTGCCAATAGTGGCGCCGCCAGTGCCAGACGGCGCGTCGCGCGGATCGACGCCGTCGGCCGAACCCAGCGGGGTGAGCGACGACGGCCCGTTGTGGCGACCGAGGCTGGCAACCGCAACAGTATTACTGCTGCTGCTGCTGCTACTGCTGCCCCGAAGGATGGACTGCTGCAGTTGGCCGTACGCTCTTGCAGCCGACGACGATTGCTGCTGCTTCTGCTGTTGCTGCAGCTGTCGTTGTTGTAGCGAATTCGGCGGTGGGGGGCCCCCTGCTGCCACTGGAGCTGTTCCTCCAAGCTGCTCAAAAGATTGAACCACGCCGATGCCGCTGCCGCCTGAGTCGTCCAGCCCTGTTCTCCAACCCTGGCCAGCATTACTCGACTGGCGGCTAGACTGCAGCGAGGCCGTTGACGAGGACCCCCCGTTGGCGCGCCGCATGGTCCACGAGCGGAGCCACACAGCCCACGCCTACACCGCCGCGTCGTTTAAGAGACCATACGTATGATAATATCGAGTATGAGTATACTGGGTGCGTCGCGTCGTCGCCACTACGGATTCTGACGATATCTGTGATAAGATTGATAATGATGGAATAGCTACTAAAGTAGCAGTTGCTGTTGTTACTATTATTGTCGTCGTTGTTTTTGCTACCGTTGTTGTTGCTGCTTCTATTTTTTTTGTCGTTGTTGTTGTTGTTGCTGCTGCTGCTGCTGCCGCTTCCACTGCTCGTAATGGCTGCACCGTTTCCACCGATCCAAGCCCTCGTGTGTTGGGCAGCAACGCGGCCACACACTGGCGATTTTAGTTTAAGATGCGCCACCATCTCCGCCGAATCTGGCGCGAGCGCGCCGACTCCGGCGCCAGCAAGCCGAGCTTGTTTTGTTTACTCCGCTACGAGCGCGGCTGGTTCGGGAAAACAAAGGCCGTTTTGTTCTGCCGGCGCACTACTTCTACTTGGTTACGTACGATGATCCTCACTGCTCGCCCTGTAGTCGTCCTTACCCTAATTGGCAGCAGCACTGATTAATCATTGAGTCTGGGTGTTTCACCGACCAGTCGGCACCTTGTAGCAAAAAGTACTCTAGCTTCTATCTTTCTTTGATTTTCTGCTTTTTCATCGTTCGCTACTGTCACATTTATGCTTCGATACTTCTCTCATCCTCTATTTTCCGTTAGTTATTTTCGTCCACTGTTAACTACGTTATACCATGAACACCGTTTCAATGGAGACTTGGACACCGCACCGACACCAGAGCAGAGACAACATTAAATATGCGCTATTATATAAATATAGAAGACTAGAAAAACGTTTTGTTACTGATCCATGTCCGGTTAGGACGATTCATTTGTCAAAGTAGCTGCGCTGGTTTTCACTGTAAAAGTAACTGCAGCATTCATTGTAATCCATTTTAAAGCATATCGCTTCGTCTTGTATTTGAACTATATAATGTAATAATTCTCATTCGTGCGACCAGCAGACCAGAACGAAGGTAATTTTGGCGATCAGACCGTATAAGTCTTAGCACTACACAGCATAGCACGGAACAATCGTAAATCCAATGTTGTCACCACCTCGCCTTGTTGGCTCTGTCGAAGGTCTCGTCGTTTTCATCTTTTCACTGGCATTACCCGCCATCACTGATGCCTACATACTGCCTTACATCGTACCACGATCTCACTCACCCCGGCACCTGCACGTTCACCCGTTGCGTTCCGTCCTCGCTAGCAGGAAAAAAAGAAAGACCATCCATTGATACTACATACGACAATGATGAACGATCGGCAAGGGCCGTAGACAAACACACTTCATTCACTTCACTGGTTGAATCGTTGACGTATTATATCCTGCTAGATACTCGACGATGGAAATCCCTTCGGAACAGCACATACGTTGATGAAAGTCGCTTAATCGTTGCTTGAACGCTTCAATCGGTTTCTACCATAGTTGATGTTGCTGCAGCTGCTAGAACTGCTATCGCTGATGCTTCACTTTACTATTGAGTAACCTCACACGCACGCAGCCGCCCACACTTTCACACTCCGCATTTGATGGGATCTGCCTTCTTAGCCAGCAGGTATTCTTTCGATTCGAACGAGCATGGGGGCAACGTCTTTCGCCCCTTTGTTGCCTTGCTGCTTAGCCTGGGCAACGGACGGCGGAATATCCGACGTGGGTTCGTCGCCCTGCTCGTACGCCGGCAGCAGATGTATTCGATGCTTTACACTCGCAGCTTCTCACTGCACTCTACTCAGTGTTGCATAGAGTTTGCACTGACTTTGCACAGTCCCGCTGGTTGCTTTGTCGCTGCGCAGCGTCAACTAGTAATCGCGCACGTTGCTGCACGAGCAAGCAACCGCCAATATAGCTCGTTTCTTGGTTGTTTCGTCACACTTTGCTATAAAGCGGGCAATACAGAGGGCAAAGCTGAGCAAAACCCTTTGCTTTGTCTGGGGCCTCTGGGGTTTTTTGGGACACCTACCACCTGCTGTCTCCTACATCCCGGCGAGCGGCGAAGGGCTGCGACGGCTCCTCTCTTCAGCGCTCGGCCGTCGCATAGCCGGGACTCGGCAGCCAACCTTCCCCATCAGCACCTTATAGCCTTCTATACGTTTGCGGCGACTCAATACTTTTTATATTGCTTGACTGCCTGTTGCCCCTTATTGTTGGCTGCTTGTTTGTCGGCTTGTTCAGACCATCACTAGATGCCTGCTGAATGTATAGAACCGTGTTGAATGATATGGACACAAGCAATGGCAGGCAATGCCAGTGCTGGGGTCTTCGTCGTCAGAGCGGCGCGAGAGAACCGAACAATAGACGGGCTACAAAGAAAAGAGAGAGAGCGAGAAAGATAGAGAGATAGGTAGGTAGATAGATAGAGAGAGGGGGAGGAGAGAGATAGAGAGGGGGAGAGAGATAGAGAGAGGGAGAGAGATAGAGAGGGAGGGAGAGAGATAGAGAGGGAGAGAGAGAGAGAGAGAAAGAACTAATGTCTACGCGGTTGTATCGCGGATCAGCAGCTAGCCGGCACTAGCTAAAGCTAGTTAGCTAGTTTGTCTGTCCCAGTTCTACCGCTTTGAACCACTCTTGCCGCCACTGTTGCCACTGCTTTTCTTTTTTCACCGACAGAACAGAAGAAAGAAAACGGAGGAGACGACCACGGCACACGCCATGGGAACCGGGGGCCTGCAACAGCGGAACGGACAGCGGCGGATCAGCCAGTTAAACAAGAGCAACAACGACAACACGACGACAGCAGTCGACGTCGCGCCAGACTGACACCACGGAGGGGCAAACAGGCAATCTAGCTAGCTGACTGGTAGGCACGGAAGCTGTTGGCACGGTAGGCGGTGGTGGTACTGGCAGCCTAGGGCCAGCGATGAACGCAGCCTGGCCAAGTCAGCAGCAGTAGCCAGAGATCCGGAGCCAGTACAACAGCGACAACGAGAGAGCAAGCTGGGAGGCAGTAGAGCCAGCAGTATCCGAGAGGAGGATGCACGCAAACTGCAGCGCGCCCTAGCGACGCAATAGTCAGTGAGAACATGGGATGTGTCGGGGGACGTGTCGCACGAGAGGGGGTAGGGAGCAGGGCCCCCGGAGGTGAGGGTATCGGGGCTACCCCTGAACGTCGAAGGGAAGGAAAAGGCGGAGGGCCAAACCATTGCCGAAAAATGGAAGATTTGCCGACACATGGAAGACAGTTGCTTGGAACGAGGAGGATGGCTAGACTGTTAAGGAAACGGGTTGGAGATGAAATGCGTGTGAGTTGGGGGGGGGGGGGGGGGCTAAGCCCTCGTTTGTGAGAGGAGTGCCGGTGGTCCCCCTACAATGGGAAAGAGACCCACGAGAGCAAAAGAAGCGGAGAGCGGAATAGCAGGAGGTAGCGGCCGGTGTTGAGGGAAGGGAAACATAGAGAATGCGGTTGAAAAGGCTACACGAAGATAACAGAAGAACAGGACACCACTGGCCTGAGTCGACTCGCTTCGATAATCAAGAGCCACCGCGGACTGGCGAGTAGCAGCAGCACACCTAACGACAGATACAACAACCAACGTTCGCCAATAATCTCTAAACAACATGCCGTTATTACGAGACGACAGTATCGCGACAACCAAGCGAGGAATTTGTGGCTACGATGCTGGCCAAGTATCGGAGTAACAATCTTGTTGGACCATAACAGAAAATTGGCAAGCGATTTAGAGTAGCAGGTGCTGAAAAAAAGCCACCGTTGTCGCTACTGTCAGTCAGTCTGTCCGTATGCCAACATGAACTGAAGTGAGCAATAAAAAAGTAACCACATAGTGCCAATTAATGAAGAGAATAAACTAGAATTATCTATTGCGACTGGGCATAAATATATGCATCTGTACAGACTTTAAACGTGATGTAGATCTGCCCCACCACAAGGAAACCTGACAAGTACTCAGCTTTATCCAGTAGCTTTAAGCGCTGTATCAGCCCAGGATACCGTAGTATTTTGGTAGACAACCTAGGTCCGGAAGCAGGTTGCGTTAATCTGGCACGGATTAATCACAAAATGGGCCAATACAACAGGAGGCAGCTGTTCTTATTGTTTTATTTTAGCCTCGTAAATTCTCTTAGATAACACGGCAGACAAGCAGAGTAACGGACTGTGTACACCCTCTCCATTATCGTGCTCCATGACAGACATACGGTCACCGTAAAGAAACTAACTTATCCAGCCACTAGATCCCTAGACCCACAGTCGTTGCGATTCCATCTCGTTTCAGTAGCAAGATCCTGCAACATCCGGATATAGCAACGAGAGCCAAGGATCGAAACAGGAAGATGATAGGAGCGTATCCGTGAAGCGCACATAGAAAATGACGACAATGTAAAGAGTATCGAGAAAATGGTGAAACACCAGCAGTGGACCAAAAGGAAGAAGACGAACATGATGAAGGGGAATCGCAAAAAATCTCAGGAAGCGGCCGAGGGAAACCACAACGAGCCAGCAAACTGCAGAGGCAGTTTAAAAAGTAGAGTAAGCGATACAGCACTGGAAGACTAGCCAGCAGCTGGCCGGTTTGTCGGAGTCGCGCTGTTATAAAAAGTCAAAGACAGAATAGGCTTGCCACCACTTTTCTTACTGCGACCGTCGCTACTGTTACCGCCCTATGATGAGAATTTTTCCTAATTATCTGTTCGGTTTCGAGTTTTCCTTCAACAACCGTGCCTGACCCTATCGGCTTTTCGGTCCGACGCGTACCTACTTCAGCTGCCAGTCCTGTCGATGCACCTGCAGCAGCTGGTGCAACTACTGCAGGATATTTTACCCTGACGTTTTATTATTCACTGTCCTGTACTATGTTTGTCCTGTGCACCCTATGGCGTTTTATTTGTAAACACTGCAGACGGTTCTAGCAGGCAGGCGAAGGTTGAAGCAGCGACTACGGCGGCTAGCATTTAGGCCATGAACCCTGCGTGAGCAGAACTTTCGACTCCAGAAACTAGACTTAATTTAAACGAGCGAAATAAGTAGCGTAAATGAAAGCAGTAGTAGCTGAACTGGATTCAGGCGGTCGTCTGCTATAACCACTGCTGCTTCAAGCGGTCATCTGACTGCTTTTACAAACAAAAAAACCGTTCCCGTTGCTATTCTTGTGCTTTCACCATGTTTGCAGATGCCACAGCCGCGAACAGCCACCGTCGACGTCAACCTTGTCGCCGTTGAAATCCCGTTGCGACCAACCGTTGGCCCTCAAGTTAAGACTATCACTCGCTTGCTTGTTTCGTTTTTGTTGCTTTTTTCCTTAATCAAGATCCAGCCAGAGGCCAATGTAGAACCTGTTTTTATGTCAATCTGATGATAATCGAGTAACTGCCGTTCCTTTCAGTTCCGTGTATTTCAACTTTTCTCCGTCGACACTGTCGCTATCAAATCAACGCAATCATCGTCCATACATATTAGTTGTATAGCACTTTGGCTTTAACGAAAGACACGCGTGCGCCGGTGTTGATACTAGCTGCGTGCAACGGTACAAAACTGCTGTAACTGGTAACTGACAATACAATGGCGAAACGTCCGCTCATTAAACTAAAAGACAAGTAAAACCTAGGTTCAAATTTTGGAATAACAGGTTCAGGGTAACCTGATGGAGCTGAGACGTCTGTCGCAACGCTAACGCAGTTCTGGATATAAACTTTGAAACATTTCAACTACATATGGTAAAGGCGCTTTTAGTACGCGGCAAGCGGCGCCAGTATCTCAAAGACTGAAAGCTTTTGTGCGCTCACTCTCACGCGATCTCCTTGTCGGGTTTCCCGCAACGCGCACAAGACCGTGTGCTGTGTTTATTTTGATTTCATAATGGGGCTTCATCATCGCCATCGGCGCCACCGCTCAAAACAGAGATTATACTATTACTAACAATCGCAGCAGGAACTGCACTATGGACCGATGCATAAATCAAATTGTACCGGTAACTCCGATAGCCAAAGACGAATCGGGAAGCAAGCCAGAGCACTGAATCAATGTGTGCGTACGTAATGATAGTTGTTATCCTTCGTGGGATACGCCAACAGACGTAGGAATTGACGAACTCTTGGGAAGAGTTTATTTATTGGAAATAAACGAAATTGTAGAGCAGCTAGGTCGACGGCCGCAAACATGGTGACAATAATCGCGCTAGAACTCGTCGACGTCAGTCGTTCATGGGGAACCAACCACCTTGCATCACGGTACAAGCAGGACGTCAACAACACACGTTCTACTAGCAGTACTCACCAACAGTCACTACTATCATTTTTGTTAGTAGAAAAGTAGACCCAAGCATTTTTATCCACGAAAGATTCGATGCGTTGGCAGCAACGGACAAGGTAAGAATGAAAACAAGCCACGGTTTTTCTCTAGTTCGTTTCCACTGTTTCTCTCTTCAAAGTTGCACGCTCAGCCAGTACCTTACATGTAGCAAAGTTGCTACAGAATGGGATTTTGAAACTGGGCCACCCACTTCTTAGGCGCTGACGAATATTGCGGTTCCAGTTGTTGAAAGTGGAACTGCAGGACTCGTTTTTGTATAAATAGCTCTCTCGTTAACTTGCTGCTATTGCCATCGCTAGAGCCCGCCTAACCGCTGATTAGATACTTGCTAGGAGGTCAACACAACCATTAGCGGATATCGTTAATGAAGCTGATTTTCGTCAGGCAGACGAATGGTACTGCTGCTGCTGCTACGAGCTTAGAAGTACGCGCCGAAGCAAAACAGCCCCGGCCTTGAAAGGGCAGTCTCGCCTTATGTAAAGGTTCTCACAACAATCTAACACACATTGAAATTGAGTGCGATATACGTAGACAGTTTAGCTGTGTACGCAGACAAGCCTTTTTTTCAATCCTCTACCTATAATGCTACGGTTCGCATTTTGTTTGGTCCGCAAGCTATTACTTTCAATTGTTATTCAAAGGTGAGTACGTCTGGCAGCGGAAATAAATATTTACAACTGCGTAAATTGCGTTTGGTGCCAAGCAAGAACTTGCTAGGGGAGACATTTTTTCATTTAATCGTATATTTTCCATCATGATAAGTTCAATTACTTCTTTTATTTAATATTGTACTTGCCTTGCGTATATGAATATGTTGTTGATGCGCGTCAAGTTCAAGTTGAATTCGTATTTTGCTTAAGGAATACAACGGGACAGCACTGAAGTGTAAACCACAATACATATATCGGCCTGAAGTATATTCGCGGCAGATCACGACTGTGCTCTGTTGATATCCCCTCGTAGACGCAGGACGAACGAAGTCAACTTTAGAAATAGAAAACATAGTTACGAATCTATATGCGTATGATCTGCCTTGTTACTCAATTCCTCCAATGGAGCATGGAGTTTAGCAATGGAAGATCGTCAAATTTTTAAAACGTAATAACAACAATGTCAGATGCGAATGCGAACAATAGAGTAAATAAGTCGGGCAAACTAGGGCAAAATTTAGGGCAGACGTGTTACGCAGACCACACCCCACAGCTATGGTATTTGTTTTAGGACTCGTAGAGCCCTTATAGGCGCTTGGTTCGATGTTATTTTGGCACATCATTAGCCAATTTTACAAAGATATCTGTATATCTGTATAAAAACAATGCTACCTAAGATTTTAACGTTTTTGCGCTAACTGTGCATATCAGCCTAAATGACCCGCACTCCCAAATTGTATTGCCTAGAACGTACTTTGATGTACGGTGTCCGATCCATCCCGATCACTCACTCCACAAACGTAAGCTTCTTTACTACATACGCCACGCCGCCGTTTTATACGAAATAAGCGCAAACGACATATTAAGATATCATTTATTATAATCATCGTTGTTATTATTATTATAATTGTTTCTTATCGTATCAGTAATAGTTGATTCAAATCATCGCGTTTTATCATCATTGTCCATTTTGTTTAGTACTTTCTATTATATCGTCATAATAAATGTTCGGTATGCATACTTACACAGTAAGATGGTAAGAAAGTATCTCAGCTGAGTAAAAAAAAATCGAAATTAATCTTCAGTCGATGTGGATGTCACCCGGTGTGTGTGTGTGTACGTGTTTCTTTAGACATCCGATCTTTATTCTTTTGTCTATATATTCACTTAATAGAAGTTTGTTTTCGCAGCAGTTGGTAAGTCAAATTACTCTTTCCGAGTAGGTTGAATATATGATCGAATCATTGTTACCGTTGGTGATGTGGGGCTTTATTCGATTTGCTGTTGATGATACAGCGCAAAACAAACTTGTTTTTTGTTATTTTCACGGATGTGCAATGCCGTTTGTTATTGGTTGTTTGTCGTTGGCTGGTTGTTGTTTTGTAGTGGCATTAGTAGTAGTAGATCTCTCGGTTTGCTTAGTATCAGCTGTTAAGCAACAGCTGAACTTCGCTCCGCTTAAAACAATTCTCTTCTCAACAGCCAAACAAGCATTGACAAAGACGAATTTTTTGCCGTCCCTACAGGAGCCATTGAGATTCTCGTATACCAGCGCTGTTGTTGTTAAAGCTGTTGAACCTACCTGCTGTATTACCGCTTATTGTAAGTCTTTTCTATTCATCGAGATCCATCACGTGTTCAGAAACGACCATATTCGTACTTTCATGCAATACACCTACTAGCGTGCAAACTGCATGGCTGCAACTCTCTCCCTGAAACTCTAGTAAGCAGAAAACGGCAGCACGTGTCGCAATGAACCGCAATCACTGTTTCTCAGCACTCACTCTGAAATGCAACTGAGGTTCACAGCGCGGTCCTTAAGTTAGTACGCGCTGGCGATCTCGAGGCCTTTTGAACTGATCGACTTGTACAGAACTTTTACTAGAAACAACTACCTGATTGGGAATTTCACATGCTTCTCGATCTAGGAAACGAGTCACGAAGAACATGAGCGCGTTCATTTTGGAAAAAGACGCATATTCTTATCGTCTTTTAAGGATAGCCGGGTAGCAAAGACAGCAGTGTATAGGCTACAACAGCAGAATGAGCGTGGTCAAGCAAGCATCAATGGTCTTTGTAGAAGGCGGCTTTGTATGAACTGAATTTATTTTATTACACTTGTAATCATTGTTGCTATCGCGTCCGATCTGGCAAACAACGAGCGGCTGTGGTGCGCAGTCGGTTATCTCCCTTCCCATTGCTTTTGCATCTGTCTATTCGCTTTCAGTCCTTTACTCCTTACCGCATGCTCGTCCTGTCATACCACAGCTTCTCCTTCCTGGGTCGGCATGCTCCGTATCCCCCTAACATAATACGACCTATATATAT